GGAAAAGAAAGGGAGAGGGTGGCAGAACCCACAAAGCCTCACTACTCATTCTTTCCTAGGGACCATCATAATCCCTCCCACAATGCACTTGATTAAGTCAAGTTTTAAGTCCATCAGCTATCCTTCAGCACATTTTCCTACTATCATCACAACTCTATTTCATCTTAAACCTGGCAAAGTTTTAAAATCAATATACTAACAGCACAGGTGTAAATTATTAAGTGAGGCAAATAATTTGGGGATGATAGGTGCCGGGAGCCGGTCCATCCTTGCTGCTTGACACAGTCGCTGCAGGAAAGAAACATCTGCACAGCATATGTTTCAAGGGACCTGGCATATATGACATACTGTTCTTAATGTTTGCTCACCTTCTTGGCGCTATGTGTTTTAACCACGGTCACCTCTCCGAGAAAGGTTGTTTCCCCAGGTGGGTATTTTTCCCTGAAGTTAGGGAGGGAATAAAACCCTTAACTAAGTGCCAGGCAGGTAATTAATCACTTTAACTACGAACAATCATGCTTAAGCTACATAATCTTTACTCCCTGGAATGGAGATAAGAAACGCCCTAACCTTTGGAATAGAGATTGATAGGATTGGAATCAACTGGTATAAATACAGATGTAACAAGACAACAGGACACAGAACCTAGAGACAGAAGAACTTCGCTGGAGAGAACATGGCAAAAGATCCTGGACAGAAACTGGCTACAGAACCTAGCGAGAGAACCTGGCTGAAGAACCTAGAGACAGAACCTGGTTACAGAACCTGGATAGAACATGGCAAGAGAACCTGACTAGAACCTGGTGACTGAACCTGGCTGGAGAACCTAGCGAGGGAACATGGCTACAGAACCTGGCTGGAGAACCTGGAGAACCTAGCAAGAGAACATGGACACAGAACCTGGCTGGAGATCCTAACCAGAACTTTGCTGGAGATCCTGAACAGAACTTGGCTGGAGACCCTGACAAGAGAACCCGGCTATGATTATCACCTGAACGCTGCCTCTGTGTCATTCCTTCTTCGCCGACTCCGTCCACACCTTTGGGGACCCCTAGACCTGCTGGGGTTGGACCCCAGCAGATAGGTGTTCATAAATTACTTACTACTCCCCACCACCAAAAAATGGGTGGGGTAAGACAAAAGGAGAAAAGAAGTAGCACAAAGCAACTCAAAAAGGAGAGCTCTAGCTCTAGGATGTGGTGCACCTGCACTCCCCACCTCTCCTCCATCCACCATCTTTCTGGCCATTGGCTATACTGCAGAAGGGCAGTAAGAATGTAGAATCTGAGCTAATTTATCTCAACTTGCAAGGCAGTTTTTTCAATTACTTGAAAAATACAACACTATTGGCTGATGTGCCGGAAGATTTCTGTCCAACCTTGGAGTTGATTTTTTATTTAAAGATCTACTTCTAAAGGAAAATATGTTTAGGAACCTCACTTGTCAAAGCTAGATCAAAGTTCTAAAAGTTCCACACAAAACAGAAGTTTAAAGGAAGAAGTCGACAGCTTTCTCAACAATTCTCTTATCCCTTATCCCTTTCTACAATTGTCTATGGCTTCACATAATATAAAACTACCAGCATTAAGGCAGCAAATACATCCCTCCTGTTTTTTGTGGGTTTTTTGTTTTTGTTTTTGTTTTTTTTCAGTTCTTCACTGATAAACTCAGTCACTTTCTAAGCTAGACAGCTCCCTCTCCAGTTTAAAAGTTACGTGGCTAGTTTAAGTTATGACAATTCAAGCAGTTCTATTTCTGCATGTTCTAATCAAAAACTTACCAGAGATATAATTTTTAACCAAAGCCAAAAAGAGGTTAGCAAACATTAATTTATGATGAGGCTACAGAGACAAAGGAAATATTCCACAGAGGCAGACTACTCATTTTCCTCATTGAATGCTGCAGCTCCAGGAATCTAATGATTCTCCATTTACTTAAAAGTGAAAATGATAATAAAATTACCTAGTGTTGACAGCAGGTGATTTTTAACTTCACTGCTGTCTGACAGGAACCTACAGGCTTTACCTGGCCTCAATCTGTCCAGTTTAGAATTGCCAACTAGTAGCTTCTCAAAAGCAAAACTCAATGTAAGCCATTTAAAAAGTGGTTTTCAAAGTGTCAAATACAATAGATTAGTCAAACTCAGCATGTTAGAACAAAAGAAAACCTGGGTGCCCAATCCAGGCATCAACTGTCAAAGCCAAGTGCAAAAAAGAGGATCAAATTCTCAAAACAGTTGTGATACACAAACTGGCCGCCTCCCCCCACCCCCGCCACCGCCTTAAATACAAAGAATGCTACAGCAATCTAACAGGTGTCTTCATTGGTAGTCTTAGCTTTTCTCAATTGTGGTTCCACAGGAAAAAAATTAAGTACTAACGCCATAAGGAAGAAGTTGGCAAATCTTTTTTATAAATATTTTAGGCTTTTCAGAACACATGGTCTCTGTGTCACAACTACTCAATTCTGCCACTGGCAGTCGAAAGCAGCTGTCAACAGTTAAGTAAATGAATGTGACTGTGTTCCAATGAAACCATGTTTGGACAATGAAATTAGAACTTCATATAATTTTCACAGAAATATTATTTTTTTCAAAACCATTCTTGTTTTTTAAAGTCTTAGTTCTTTGAATAGATTTAGCTGTGAGCAATAGTTGCCAAACTAATTCTTAAGGCATCCTTTTATGTGATAGATTAACTTCTCTCCTACCATCTAGAATGGTACTAATTATGTACCATACTATAGAGAATTGAGAAAATAGTCACTCAAATCATTTTCTGTGTCTACAGTGCTGATTTGATTGTCTAATACTAAATAAGAATATTCCATCCAGTATGAAGCTAACTGATAAAATTTATTAACATTTATTAACTTGGGCAAAAATCTTTACACAGTTAAAACTTATATTTTAAAGTCTCAAAAGATAAAAATATAAAAAGGAACTTTCACATCCAATACATTTCCAAAGAATGATATTAAATCAAACTGTTGCAAATTAACTCTCTGGTTAATGTACCACCAGAAAAATAAATTATTTTAGTAAAGCCAAGAATTCTTAAGCCAAGAATTCATTTCAGAAAGGCAAAGGGAGAGATAAAAACATCAATGATGAGAATCATTGATCGGCTGCCTGCTCCACGGCCCCTACTGGGAATCAAGCCCACAATCCAGGCATATATCCTGACTGGGAATTGAATCATAACCTCCTGGTTCTTAGGTCGATGCTCAACCACTGAACAACACCGACTAGGCCAATTATGGTCTTTCCACTTACTTTGTGTCTCAGGTATGTTTCTTCCTAAGCAGAACCTAGCTGAATAAAAATCACAAGTATAAAATTACACTATCGCTTCAAACACTTACATACTAGATTTGAATTCCAGCTCCACCTCTTTCTAGATGAGGAGCTGGAGCAAGTTCTCAACTCTCTCTACTCAGCTGTTAAGGAGAGAAAATACCATCAACCATCCCAAAAGTAGCCAAAATGTACAACTGAACTTAGGTAAAAGAGTTTGTATACTATATAGTGCTATAGAAATATCAGCTGCCATTATTAGATGCTCGATGACTTTCTTCATATTATCATTTTCTACTTTTTTATAACACTCACTAGTTTCTGCTAAGTCTTGGGTTCAATGGAATATTGTGCACCTAGAAGTATATTTCATTCAAGACATTAAGCATAGTATGAGGTACTGTGGAAGAAATAACGATGTCTGAGATGGTCTCAGCACTCAAACAGCTTACAATGAACTCAAGACATGTGCACACAAGCCAGTGCTGTAAGCGGAGCAAATGAAAACCAACATTTATTGTAGGATCAGAAAAAGTGGTACAGGTATTTAATAAGAGCCTTGGATAGATGATGGGAGACATACTGTAACAGAGGAAATTGCAAGAGCATAGGTGCAGAGGTGAAAGAACACTGAACACACCCCAGAATACAGGAAAGTTCAAATTCTAAAACAAATTCCAAAATTTGTTTCATTTTTAAAATCTAACCAGAAAAAAAGAAATTTCACCATAAACTTCTGAAAGATAAGCATCTTGAAGGATAAGCAAGACAAATAAGTGGGAAAATTATAACCATGCTGGTTTCAAACCACACTTTATCACTTCCAAAAACACTTCACAGTTTCTAAGAGGACACTGTTTAGAGTAGACTGAATTACAGAGAAGGAGTAAGTCTGGCCTAGTAAGACTCTTGAGGGAGTGGGAATCGACATACTCAGCTTATATTGTATTGTAATACACATACAATAATATTACCAACCTGCGTCAGAAACCATTTTCTTAAATTCTTCAAATTATCACACTCCTCTCATTGAAAGATAAAGTCTAAATCCCTTCCCCTTGAATCCGGGCGGGTTGTGTAACTGCTTTGACTGGAGAATACGGCAGAAGTGATGCTATGCCAGTTTCCAGCTGAGCCTGTCCACTGTGACAAATGATCATTGTTTCTTATGACCCTAAATTTTGGAGTGTTTGTTAAGAAGCAACAGGTAACTAGAAAAGCCTCCAGATCACAGCTCCAGCTTTCAGGCCTTTCACCACACCTACAACCAAAATGCTGCTTCACTAAAGAAAGGAAATAACTGAGGACTTGTGACTTTTTGGGATAGGTTTTTAACAGAATATTCTGTCAACTCTCAGAGCATAAAAAGTCCAAAGGGTCCTACTTCCTCTTAAGAAATACAAACTGCCCCAAAAAAATGATGTCAGTCAAGTTCCATAAGAAAAGGTTATAAACATCAAACATATCAAAGTGATACATTTATTCTTTACACCAAAGAAACCCTCTGGCCTGAAAGGTTAAATACCAAGAAGTAGTCATCTCCAGAAAGTAGGAGGAGATGACTATATAGATAACAGTGAGTTCTCAACATTTAATGATACATTAAAGGAAGGAGCGGAGTAACAGACAACTTTATGCTTTACACAATTATGAATTGCTTAAAATAAGCATGCAATACGTTTTAAAAATTTTTAAGATATTTCCTGGCCTCCCAGTGCTTACCCCAGGCTGCATTCTTACAGTGTATAGAAGGAGGAGGCAGAGTAAACACACTACATATACACCTCAGCCCCAACCCTTTTCCTGGTCTACAGTGTGAATGGGGAGACATGGAAAAAAAGAAAAAGATATTTCATTTGAAACAAAGAGCAAACCACTGGAGCCCTAACAATCTTTAAATGACTTTTTGGTACATTAAGAGTGATAGCAAATGCCGTTCTTAGCTTGCTTTCATAGAATGAAGGAGGGTGTTAGGTGCCAAATGGATACTTATTTTTAACAAGGAGCAGAGCCTATGCACTAACTTGCATCTCTTTCTCATCCCACCAGCCACATGCTTCTGCACAGTGTGGCACTCCCTGTTAGCACAGTGCCCAACAAGGGAAGAACGGCCTTGAAATTGCTTTGACTTCCTTCTTTCAAGCTTTGAAGGCCACTAGGTAAAAGGAAAATAGTGTGAGAATTCCTATACCTCAGCATCTCTGTGCTAGGCTAGGCCTCCTTGGAAACCATTTTTCATGTTCTCTTCTAGAGGACTCTACCACACTCCCAACTCCATGAAAATTGGCAAGATGGTTGAATGTATATGAAAGAGTAGCACCAAATCAAATCAGAAGTTTTCATAAACTACCCACATCTCTAGCCTCTTCTCATTAGACCAATTCCTTGCTCCTAAGAAATTCTATCAAGAGACAGATAAGGAAAAGATGAAATACAGAACATTTCATTCTGCTTATGATTATTAATGTCAAGTAAAGTACCAAAGTGAAAAGGAAATCACCACAAGGAAAACTACAAGGTTATGAAATTATCACAGGGTTCTCCCATGTATCATTAAGTGTTCAGAACGCACTGTTATCTGTAAGCACTTCCAGGAGCCCTTCCCAACCCTCAGTTTATCAAGTTTCCTAAAAGAAACAAAGGTTCAGCAAGTTCCAACTACCAATATTTCTTCCAAAAGGTTTATTAAAGTTCTATGATCTCAGATTCTAGTTATTCTCTTTACTAAACCCAAATACTCCAATTAGCTTCCATCCATCATAGAAAAATACAGATATACAGGTCAAGATACAAAACACACTGATAAATTGGAAAGAGTTCTATAAAAACCAGACAAACATCCTATATAATAAAAGCCTAATATGCTAAGTGTCCGGTCAACCAGTCGGCCTTTCAACCAATCAAAGTGTAATATGCTAACGATATGCTAAGGCTACTCAACCACTCACTATGACATGCACTGACCACCAGGGGGCAGTCGATCAGTCGCTATGACATGCACTGACCACCAGGGGGTAGACACTCCAACCGGTAGATTAGCTTGCTGCTGGGGTCCAGCCAATCGGGACTGGGTGAGATAGGCTAGATATGCCCTGGAGCCCTCCCACAGTCCCTCCCCGGCCCCAATCGTGTGCCAGTGGGGTCTCTCAGTCTGGCCTGTGCCCTCTCACAATCCGGGACCCCTTGGGGGATGTCAGAGAGCTGGTTTTGGCCCAATCCCACAGGCCAGGCAGAGGGACCCCACTGGTGCACAAATTTGTGCACCACGCCTCTAGTAGAAAATATAAGTACAGTTCAGTAAATTTAGAAATAACACCTAAAACAGATTAGTGAGAAGTAACAAAGGATTACCCATGCTGAAGACATCAGTAATAGAGAGCAACTTGAGCAAGAGATCAACAAGAGGAAATCATGTGGAGTTATTTTTTTTAAGTTTTTAGATTTTTTTTTTTGTTAATCCTCGATGATATTTTTCCATCGATTTCTAGAGAGAATGGAAGGGAGAGGAGAGTGGGAGAGAGAGAAACATCAATGTGAGAAAGGCACATTGATTAGTTGCTTCCTGCACACACCCCGACTGGGACCGGGGATGGAACCTGCAACTCAGGTACGTGACCTTGATGGGGAATCAAACCCATGACCCCTCGGTGCACAGGCCAACACTCTAACCACTGGCTAGGGCTAGATTTTTTTTTTAATGTTTTTATCCATTTCAGAGAGGAAAGGAGAGGGAGAGAGAGAGAGAAACATCAATGATGAGAAAGAATCATTGATCAGCTGCCTCCTGCACTCCCCCTACTAGAGATTGAGCCCACAACCTAGGCATGTACCCTGACAGGAAATCAAACTGTGAACTCCTGGTTTATGGGTCTATGCTCAACCACTGAGCCACACTGGCTGGACTAGATTTTTTAAAAATAATTTTTATTTTTCAATTCCAGTTGATACACATTATTATATTAATTTCAGGTGTACATCCCATTAATTAGACATTACATAATTTACTAAGTGATCATCCCGATAAATCTCATACCCAACACCACAGTTACTAGAATATTATTGACCATATTCCCCATGCTGTGCTTTACATCCCTATGACTATTCTGTAACAACCTGCTTGTACTTCTTAATCCCTTCACCCTTTCCCACCGGGCAACTGTCAAAATGTTCTCTGTATCTACGAGCCTGTTTCTATTCTGCTTATTTACTTTTTTATATAGATTCAATTATTGATAGATATCTATTTATTGCCATTTTGGTGTTCATATTTTTTTTTCTTCTTCTTCTTAAAGAAGACCCTTTAACATTTCAAATACTGGTTTGGTGGGGATGAACTCCTTCAGCTTTTTCTCCTCTGGGGAGCTCTTCATTTGTCTTTCAATTCTAAATGATAGCTTTGATGGGTAGCGTGAACTTGGCTGTAGGTCCTTGCATTTCATTCCAGAAAACTGATGCACACTTCAAAGTTTAATTTTTCTCTTCTCTTTTCTTTTTAAGGAATGAGTGAAGGGAAAAAATTAGGTTTCATTGGAAGTTTTAATTTGAGCCTAAAATTCTAGGCTCCAAGTTTACATTGTGGGGTAGAAGAAACAAACAGAAAGGTTATTCCAAGTTCTTCATCATTTGGTATTTACTGATTAGCTGTAATGTGTTCCATATAATTATAAATTACAAAGGATACAAAAAAATGTATCCTTTATACAACACTATAATAACAGAAATCTGGTAAGAAGCATAAAATGTATGCTAATTCCTTTGGTCAATTTTTCAAATGGTCAACAGAGACTCTTCTTTGCCCCACAAGCCTCCAATTGTATAGAAAAAAAATGAATAAAATATATTTAAACACTTGCTCTTTGAAAGCAATGGCTCACCTAAGACAAAATTTAACAAACTGTGGACCCAAGTTATCTTCCAGATCAGACTTTGAATACAAAATACCATCAAAAGCTATTTCAGCAGGGCTTTCACAACACACATTTAAAAGCCAAACCCAGACAAAGTCCTGGGAATGTTTGCAGGAGGGGAGACCTAAATTGTAAATGTTTAAATGAAAGAAAAATTCTATTCTATTCTATTCTAGAAAGTATTAAATGTAATCCAGCTTAACCTTCTATTTAAAGGTATCACCACTATTTCCAAGTAGCTTAGAGTGGAAATATAGCATACAACATAAGCCCTGAAGAGAGTCATGCTACTAACTTGCTAAGTGAAACCTTGGAGAACTGACTAAGCCTCAGTTTCTTTATCTATAAAACAGGAAACCACTATTTCACCAACCACACAATTTCTATAAGAATTAGGAAAATAACACATATAAAGTGGCTGTCAGCCCTGACTGGTTTGGCTCAGTGGATAGAGCGTCGGCCTGCGGACTCAAGAGTCCCGGGTTCGATTCCGGTCAAGGGCATGTACCTTGGTTGCGGGCACATCCCCAGTGGGGAGTGTGCAGGAGGCAGCTGATTGATGTTTCTCTCTCATCGATGTTTCTCTATCCCTCTCCCTTCCTCTCTGTAAAAAATCAATAAAATATATTTTTTAAACAAGTGGCTGTCATCCAGAAAACAGTAGCAGTTATTACTGTTTCCAGTACTAATACATATTAGAACTAATACAAGGGGGGGGGGGGGGGGGAAGAAAGAAAGAAGGAAGGGAGGAGGAGGAGGGAAGAGGGAGGGCGGGAGGAAGGAGTGGGGAGGAAAAAAGGAAGGGAGGAGAGAAAGAAGGAGGGAAGGAAGGAGGGAGGGAGAGAGAGAGAAAAGAAGAAGAAATAATCACAGGCAAATTATAAATACTTTTGAGATAAATAAAAACAACAAACCAGTGGGTCTCAACCTTCCTCATGCCGCGACCCTTTAATACAGTTCCTCATGTTGTGGTGACCCCCAACCATAAAATTATTTTCGTTGCTACTTCATAACTGTAATTTTGCTACTGTTATGAATTGTAATGTAAATATCTGATATGCAGAATGTATTTTCATTGTTACAAATTGAACATAATTAAAGCATAGTGATTAATCACAAAAACAATATGTAATTATATATGTGTTTTCCGATGGTCTTAAGTGACCCCTGTGAAAGGGTCGTTCAACCCTCAAAGGGATCGAGACTCACAGGTTGAAAACCTCTGGATTAGAGGGAAAGTCTTTAAATACCTGTAAATGGCTGCATTAAAAAGGAGAAATCTGCCAAAACCGGTTTGGCTCAGTGGATAGAGCGTCAGCCTGCGGACTGAAAGGTCCCAGGTTCGATTCCGGACAAGGGCATGTACCTGGGTTGCGGGCATATCCCCAGTGGGAGATGTGCAGGAGGCAGCTGATCGATGTTTCTCTCTCATCGATGTTTCTAACTCTCTATCTCTCTCCCTTCCTCTCTGTAAAAAATCAATAAAATATATTTAAAAAAAAAAAAAGGAGAAATCTTAAATCAAACTAATCTTCTACCTTAAAACATGAGGGGAAAAGCAAACTAAACCTAAAGCAAGCAGAAGGAAGGAAATAATAATAATGATGTAAACAGAAAGTACTAATATAAAGAACAGAAAAACAATAGAGAATTAGTAATTGATAAACTTTCTTCAGAGAAGCCAGCCCTGGATGGTGTTACTCAGTGGTTAGACAGTGTCAGCCAACTCACTGAAGGATTCCCAGTTCAATTCCCAGTCAAGGGCACATACCTGGGTTGCAGGTTTGACACCTGGTCCCAGTCAGAGTGCATGTGGGAGGCAACCAATCAATGTGTTTCTCTTTCTCTCTTTCTCACCCCACCTCCCCTCCCTCCCTCCCTCCCTCCCACTCTCTGTAAAAATCAATGGAAAAAATATCCTCGGGTGAGAATTAACAAAGAGAAGCCCAGGCATAGATGGTTTCACTGATGAATTCTACCAAATACAAGTTCTTCATAAACTCTTCCCAAAAAAATCAGAAAGGAGGAAACACATCCCAACTTAATCTTTGAGGCCAGTTATTTTGATTCCAAAACTGAAAATATCACAACAACAATAAAAACTGGAGACCAAAATCACTTATAAATATAGATACAAAAGTCCTCAATAAAATACCAGCAAACCAAATCCTGCAGCAAATAAAAAGGATTATACACTAAGACCAAGTAGGATTTATCCCAGGAAAGCAAGGTTGGTTTAGCATCAGAAAATCAACCGAAGTAATAGGTCATATATCAATAGATTAAAGGACAAAAAATACATGACAATCTTAATACACACAGGAAAACCATGTGACTAAATCCAACACCCTTTCACGCGGGGGGGGGGGGAGGGGGGGCGTCAACAAACTAAGGACAGAACTTTTTCAACTTGATAAAAGTTAACTTCATTACTCAAACGTAAAAGACTGAAAGCTTTTCCCCTAAGATCTGAGCAAGACAAGAATGCCCACTGTTATGGCCAAAGGGCCTGCTCTGGCGCCACTTGTTACGGCCAAGGGTGATTGGGGGGGGGGGGGGGGGGGGCGGGGTGAAAGGATTGAGAAAAGACAGACAAGAGAATGAAGACAGACAAGAGAATGAAAGCTGGGTCTCGGTGGGACGCTGCTCCCTGATGAGGAGACCGCGCCAGCGCCCACAAGCCGTGTCTTTATTTTATAGCAGATGCCACGAGGCAAAGCAGGGGCGTGATCAAGTTGTTTACAGCATTCTTGTGAGTTTCAACCTCACTCAATTACATGCACCTGAACTCTAGCACAAGGCACGTGGGGCCACGTGTTCGGACCATAGGTTCAAGCTTACAACTATAGCTGTTGGCTATAATTGTGCTGGGAGGGCGCTGCCCTCCAGCTGGGACTTGCACGTGGCAATGAGAGGACCCTGTCTTTTCATTAGTCCAAGGCTGGCCAAAACACTGTAGCCACGCCCCACAGCCCACTCTCATCATTTCTATTCAACCTGTATTGGAGGTTCTAGCCAGGACATTTAAGCAAGAACAGGAGATAAAGGGCTTTCAAATTGGAACAGTAGAAGTAAAACCATCCCTACTTGCAAATGACATGACCTTGTATGTAGAAAAATCCTAAGTAAGTCACTAAAGAAAACTATTATAGCTAACAAGTTCTGCAGGATACAAAATCAATACACAAAAATCTATTTTATTCCTATATACTACCAATAACCAATCTGAAAATGAAATTAAGAAACAATTCCACTTATGATAGTATCAAAGCAAATAAAATAGGTATAAATTTAACAACAGAGCCCTGGCCGGCTTGGTTCAGTGGATAGAGCATTGCCCTGCGGACCGAAGGGTCCCAGGTTTGATTCCTGCCAAGGGCACATGCCTAGGTTGTGGGCTTGATCCCCAGTGGGAGGCGTGTAGGAGGCAGCTGATCAGTGATCCTCTCTCATCATTGATTTTTCTGTCTTTCTCTCTTTCTTCCTTCCACTCTGAAATTAATAAAGAAATATATATATTTTTTTGCCCTAACCGGTTTGGCTCAGTGGATAGAGCGTCAGCCTGTGGACTCAAGGGGGTCCCAGGTTCGATTCCGGTCAAGGGCATGTCCCTTGGTTATGGGCACATTCCCAGTGGGGAGTGTGCAGGAGGCAGCTGATCGATGTTTCTCTCTCATTGATGTTTCTAACTCTCTATCCCTCTCCCTTCCTCTCTGTAAAAAACCAATAAAATATATTTTAAAAAAAAGAAATATATTTCTTTTTTAAATTTAACAACAGAGGTACAAGATGTACACTGAAATCTGTAAAATGTTGTTGAAAGAAACTGAAGCCTCTTGGGTCGACATCTTGGCAAGGCAGCAGCACATCCCTGCTCTCTAAGTCCCGCAATGCCACCCAAGGACAAGAAGAAAGATGCTGGAAAGTCAGCCAAGAAAAACAAAGATCCCCATGAACAAGACTGGGGCAAGGCCAAAAAGAAGTGGTCCAAAGGCAAAGTTTGGGACAAGCTCAATAACCTGGTCTTATTTGACAAAGCAACATATGACAAGCTCTGCAAGGAAGTTCCCAACTACAAGCTTATAACCCCAGCTGTGGCCTCGGAGAGACTGAAGATTCATGGTTCCTTGGCCAGGACAGCCCTTCAGGAGCTCCTCAGTAAAGGACTTATTAAACTAGTCTCAAAGCACAGAGCTCAGTGATTTACACCAGAAACACCAAAGGTGGGGATGTTCCAGCTACTGGAGAAGATGTATGAACAACAGATCTCACTGGCTATATATTTTGAAAAATAAAACTTTATTAAATAAAAAAAGAAAAGAAACTGAAGACATAGATAAATGGGAAGATATCCCAATGCTCAAAGGGGAGAAAAATAAATATTACAATGGCAACACTCCTCAATTAACCCACAGATGCAATGCAATCCCTTATCAAATTCCTAGCTAGCTTCTTTGCAGAAATTGACAAGCTGATCCTAGAATTCATATGGAATGCAAAGGACCAAAGAAGAACAAAGCTGGAGTACTCACACTTACTGATGTCAAAACTTACTATATAAAGTAAGTATTCAAGATGGTGACATAAAGATAGGCATTATATATTAATGTAATAAAACTGAGAGTCCAGAAATAAACTGTTAAATTTATGGTTAACTGATTTTCAACCAGAGTACCAAGAATAGTGCAGCTGCTCTGGAAAACAGCCTGGCAGTTACTCAAAAAGTTAAATAGAGTTACCATATGACCCAGCAATTCCCCTCCTAGGTTCGTATCAATAGAAATGCAAACGTATTCACACAAAAACATGTACACAAATGTTTACAGTATTATTCATAATACCCCAAAAGTAGAAATAACCTAAATGTCCATCAATTAATGAGTTGATAAACAAACTGTGATACATGCACACAATGAAGTATTATTCAACCATAAAAGGAAATGGAATAATTATATATGCTATAACATGGATAACCTTGAAAATATTATGCTACGTAAAAGAAGTCAGACACAAAGGCCATATGTATTTTTTATGATTCTATTTATGTAAAATGTTCAGAATTGGCAAATCAATAAAAACAGGAAAAAATGTGGTTGCCAGAGGGATAGAGGAATGTGGCATGACTGAGAATGGATAGAGAACTTCTTTTTGAGGTGAAATTTTCTGGAATTACGTGGTAGTGATAGTTGCACAATTTTTTGAATATGCTAAAAATCACTACATTGTACACTTTAAAAGGATGAATTTTATGGCGTGTGAATTATCTCAATATAAAAAATTAGCAAAAATATTTCATCAAGAACAAGCATTTGAAACTTACTTTCTACATTCAATAATGCTGCAGTATTAAGGCCTATCTAAAAATTTTCAAACCCTTTCAAAAATAGAAAATGACTATCCCAAGGTTTCATCTAAAACAATTATCAGCAGCACTTCAAAGACACATCTAATTCTGTCTGAGCCAGGAGTCCGAGCACTAACTATCTAATCTTTCTGAGTTAAAAGACAGCGAAGTGTCCTAGTCTCTAGATCCAGCAGGAAGTCAAAATAGCTTCAACCTCACCTTGCTGGCCTAAAGCAACAGCAAGTTGCCATCAAACATGAGACTATTAAACTGTATTGATGTAATATTAAACAAATTTAAAATATATCTATATAAAATATATCTATAACACATATTTAGTAACATATTTATCATTAACAAAATGGCATATAATGGTACTTTCACAAGAGCTCATCTATAAATTTAAATAACCCAACTCTCTTTGATCACAGAGTTCAAATACTGAAATACTTAAAGTTCCTTAGAGTCATAATATAGCAGTTATATAGCTAAATAAACTGAAGACTGTCTATAGAAAATAAAACGCAGCAAAATAATATTTTCAGAATATCTGAAAAATGCAATTTGACCTTAACTCGCAATCAGGCCATGTATGGAGTATGTCCTTCCTTCTTATACTGACACATACTAGTACATTACCCAGACTCCACCTTGGACACACTAAATTGGAACTGGGGAAGCAACAGTAATGAGTTTTTTAGAAAAGGCTACCATAGTGATTCTGACAACCCCATCCTCACTCCAGAGATGACCACTGTTCTAACAACACTTCCTGCACAAACTTACCTGCTCAATTGATTATGACCTATGTATGTACTCATGTCACGCTATACAATCCTGGCTCACCCTTTCTCTCCTAAACTTCAAACACCTAAGGCATTTCCACATTTAGATGGTCCATAGCCTTAAATTCAACATGCTCAGCACCATTTTTGTAGCATAATAATAATAATACCCATCAAGAAGTGACTAGGACCCTACCTGGTTTGGCTCAGTGGATAGAGTGTCGGCCTGCAGACTGAAGGGTCCCAGGTTCGATTCCGGTTAAGGGCACATGCCCGGGTTGCAGGCTCCATCCCCAGTAAGGGGCATGCAAGAGGCAGCTGATCAATGATTCTCTCTCATCATTGATGTTTCTATCTCTCTCTCCCTTCCTCTTTGAAATCAATAAAAATATATATAAAAAAAAAGAAGTGACTAGGTAACCTGGTTAAATTAAACCTAGTCAGTATATACACTTATTGGAATACTGCGCTACCATAGAAGCAGCTAGAAATGTACATGCTGATTTGGAAAGAACTCTACAACATAATTAAGTTTTTAAAAAGCAAGGTACAATATAGTGTGTAGTATGCTACTATCTGTGATAGAAAAAAAGGATAAATGCAGTGTCTGCACAAGAAACTTGTGGACGGATACTTCAGAAACTTAACCATGGGAGGTGGGGGAAAGAGATCAACCAAAGGACTTTTATGCATGCATATAAGCATAACCAATGGACACAGCCACTAGGGGGCATGAGGGCATGTGCTGGGGGGTGGGAGTGGCCAGGAAGAGGTCAATGGGAGGCGAGGGGAGACATATGCAACACTTTAAACAATAAAAAATTTTTTAAAAAATCATGGTTTTCACCAGAAAGTGAGACTAAGTGTATCACTTAGTAAGGAGACATCACTTTCATTGTTTACCATTTGTGTTGTTTGAATGATTTAGTGTATGAATATAGTCTTAGTAATTTCTTAAAAGGATTTAAAAGATATACTATAAAGTTATAAATGTACATTTACATGCTATCTGAAAAAAAAAACCTCGTATCCAGAATACATAAGGAACTCCTACAAATGGATAAAAAAAAAAAAATGCAAGCAACCCAAGAGAAAAATGAGCAAGATATTTGAACAGAAACCTCCTCACAACAAAGTTTAGCCAAACAGCCAACAAAGAAAGATGCTCAATTTAATTAGTCAATAGGAAAATTAAAATCACAAAGCAATAGCTCTATACACAAAGATGAAAGAAACAGACAATATCAAGTACTGACAAAGATGTGGAATAACCAGAATTCTCATATACTGGTGGGAGGAGTGTGAATTGACATAACCACTTTAGAAAACTGGCAGTACCTACTAAATCTAAACTATATACATACATCTTATAACCCAACATTTCTACTACTGGGTATATGCCTAATAGAAATGAGTGCTATGTCCACCAAAAGATACATGCAAGAATATTCACTGCAGCATTATTCATAATACCCCCAAACAAAAAAACTGAAAAGGAGAACAGATAAGTTATGCTATCATACAACAGAATACCACATACCTGTAAAAAATCATTACCCCTCTACAAAAACGTACATGAAGCTCAAACCATAATGCTGTAGGAAAGAAGCTAAACATAAGTAATAAATATTACATAATTCCATTTACTAATACATAAAATTTAAAAACAAGCAAAACTAATCTTATGGTGGTGATAGAAGTCAGAATAAGTTGGGAGTATTAACTGGGATAATAAGGCACAAGGAGACTCCTAGTGAGGTGCTGAAAATGCCAACCTACATGTCAATCTGGGTAGATGTCGTAATACAAGTGTATACATATAAAAAATCAAGTTGTACATAAAAATTCATCAAACTTAAGAGAATGAGAAGACAAGCTACAGACTGGGAGAAAATATTTATAAAAGACACCTGATAATCAAATATAAAAAATTTTAAAATACAATAAGAAAACAAGCCCAATTAAAAAACAGGCAAAAGACCTAACAGACACCTCACAACAGATGTACAGATAAGAAGCATCTGAAAAGATGTTCAACATCATATATCATTAAGGAACTGGCAAATTAAAATGAGAAACCACCTCAAACCCATTAAAATGGCTAAAGTCCAAACCAATGACAATACCAGATGCTGGTAAGGATGTGAAGCAACACAAACTCTCATTCATTGCTGGTGGGAATGAAAAATGGTACAGCCACTTTGGAAAACAGTTTGGACGTTTCTCACAAAACTAAACACACTCTTACACAATCCAGCAATCACAATCCTTGGTTTACCAAGTTGAGAACTTAGGTCCACACAAAAACCTGCACATCAATGCTTAAAAAGCAGCTTTAGTCATAATTGCCAAAACTTGAAAATAACTAAGATGTCCTTCAGTATGTGAATTGATAAACTGCACTACATCCAAACAATGTAGTATCTGTCATTCAGTGCTAAAGAGAAATGAACTATCAAGCCATGAAAAGACATGGAAGAACCTTAAGTGCATATAACTAAGTAAAAAAAGCCTGCCCTGACCGGTTTGGCTCAGGATAGAGTGTTGGCCTGCGGACTGAAGGGTCCCAGGTTCGATTCTGGTCAAGAGCATGTACCTTGGTTGCAGACAGATCCCCAGTAGGAGGTGTGCAGGAGGCAGCTGATCGATGTTTCTCTCTCATTGATATTTCTAACTCTCTATCCCTCTCCCTTCCTCTCTGTAAAAAATCAATAAAATATTTTTTTAAAAAAAAAAAAGTTAAAAAAGCCAATCTGAAAAGGCTACATACTGTATTATTCCAACCATTATGATATTCCAAAAAAAAGCAAAACCATGGAGATAATAAAAAGATCAGTGATTGCTAGGGGGTACGAATATGAATATTTGAGGGCAGTTAACCCATTCTGTATGATACTATAATGGTGGATACATGTCATTAAACATTTGTCAAAACCCATAGAATGTACAACACTAGGAGTGAATCCTATTTTTTTAATTTATATTGTTTTAGAGATAAGGGAAGGGAGACGGAGAAACATGGGTCGGCTGGCTACACAGGAACCCAGGATAGAGCCTGCAACTAGGTATGTGCCCTCACTGGGAATCGAACCAGCAACCTTTT